CAGTTGAGCCTGGGAGCAGGTCAAACGGGCTCTGTGACATCCAAAATTAAGCTGCCATCCTAAATCTAGGATCCGCCCATCTTGTCACATGTATACCCCCAATCCCTCCTCTTCCTACTGCATGTATGTCCCTAGACCACCCCCTCTCATTGCTGTATAACCTATAGTGCAACTCCTTCCTGTGACATATGTATTTACCTGTAATTAGTGGGCTTGCACACCCTCAAAAGGTATATAGGCCTGGGTTAGCAATAGAGAGGCCCCTCTCTCTCTCTTGCTGGTCTCTTCCCCCACCCCCTTGTCTTCCTCTCCTCCCCTGTTTCCCTTTCCCCTTGTCCTCCTTCCCTTCCTCCTCTCTCCACGCGGACCACCAAGGAGGGTTGAGGTGAGCAATGCTGCCATGTAATGTGTCTGACTCCATTATTGTAATATCTCTAGCTTTCATTCTCTTGATGACTTTAATATAATATTTATAAATCACAGCTTACTGAAGCTGAGACTAGCGGTGGGGGGCTGGCCCCCCACCTCATACAATATCGATTAATGGCAAAGTTGTATTTATCCAACTGCTACTTTAGCATAAATATTAGGGCAAGTACAATAAATGTTTTTAATTTAATATTTTCTATTGGAAAAATTCATTTATTTGACAAAATTAATAACAGTTGTAGCATCTACCTCCATGCCCATTATCTAGCTCTTCTTTCAATCTGACCTTCACAGTTTTAACCTAAACATTGTGCAAGCACCAAGCAAGGAACTCTAACCACCTCCAGAACCTCTCCCATATTTGTCCTTATGCATTCATAGCGTTATTATAACTGAGCTGGTCAGGCCATTGCATTCTCTAGCTATAAGATAAATGGATTCATATCATTAATAATTTATCCAATGGCGTAGGATTTAAGGCACTGTTGATGAGGAGTGAGTTTAATCCAGCTGTGAACTGCAGCCATGAGTTCATGCTTTGTACAGATCAAATTTTTAAGTGGTTGAGCTCTCTTTACATTGAGTGTGGGGGTTGGTGATTGGGAAAATTTCCCTATAACGTTCCTTACAAGGGCAAAACTTTGCCTATCAATTCAATACCTTTCATATTAATGCAAGGTGAGCATTTAAACAGCCCAAATCTCCATCAACAGATGAATGGATTAAAAAACTCTGGTACATACATACAATGGAGTATTACACATCCCTAAAAAGCAGTGATGAACGCATGAAGCACATTGTCTCATGGGAAGAACTGGAGATACTAAATATATGGTGGTTCTGGGTCTTCTTTCATTGAATTCCCATTAACACAAGTGTCCCACCCAAGATCCAACAACCACCATTTCCACAGTCTTGGTGTGGTCCTCATTTGCTTCCTCTCCCATAGGGACTATATGTATTTACAAACCCCCCAACTGTGTATATGAGTTCTGTTCTCTCAACAACATCTCCAGCATTTGTTGTTTTCTGTTTTATTTTGTTTATTAATTGGCCTGGCATTGTGGGTGAAAGGTGCTGCCTTAGTCTGAGGAGGAATTTGTGGGCTAGTATCAGACATACAGGCTAATATTGGACTTCAAGATTTGATCTGGACTTGGATGGGATGTTTTCTCAATATACAATTGCTCTTGGATATAAAGCTCTTCTTTATACACATATGAGTGTCCATGAATTTGTTTCTCTAGTCAACCCGGACTAACACACCCAGTCATTTATTTTGACTTCTGCTGTGTGTGCTTTGTTTATCATACTGGTTGATCTATGTCTGCCCTGCAAGAGGGCCTTTGAGTTTGATGCAATTTTCTCACTGATGATCCTGATAGCTCTGGGCCTTACATTTCACCAGAGCCCTTTGGAGTCTGGATAAACAATGATGTTACTATGAGGACTAGAGTGCTCCTGACTCAAGGAATGATATTGTCAATTGCCTCATATGCAAGTGAAGTTTGCACACTGAATGAGAAAGGCTGAAGAAGGATCGATGCATTTGAATTGTGATGCTGGAGAAGAATGCTGAAGTACAATGGATGGTCAAGAGGACAAACAAATCTGTCTTAGAAGTATGGGCAGAGTACTCCTTAAAGACAAGGATGGCAGAATTTCATCTTATGTACTTTGGTCATGTTGTCAGGAAAGACCAATCTCTGGTGAACATCATGTTTGGTAAAGTGGAGAGACCGCGAAAAAAGAAAAGAAGGTCTTCAGTGAGATGGATTGGCCCTGCGGTAGCAACAATGGGATCAAGCATAGGAACAATTGTGAGGCTAGCATAGGACCTCATAGTGTTTCATTCTGTTGTCATAGGGTTCCAATCGGTCAGAACCAAGGAGATGGCAAGTAACATCAACAATTGAACTTCTTCATCGTTTCTTTCCACAGAGGCAGTCGATTTGTTTTCTGTCTATTGTGTCTGGAGAAGTCTATGAGTATAATTACCCTTTGTGGCGTTCAGCAAAGATATTTTGCAAAATTGAAAAATTCGATCATGAGATCACATGAGATTTCTTTCTTCAAGGTTATATTTTCCAACTATTGTTCTTGCCTCTTTGTTATCAATTTTGCGTTCCAATCACAAATTATTTTTAATGCATCTTGATTGCATCTTTGATCAGTTTCAGACTGAATATCTTGATATGATTCTGAAATTCCATCATCACTAACTTTAGTTGTTGGGCATAAATTTGAAAAATAGCTGCATTGCCTGGATTTCCTTATATTTTTATAGATATAATCCTATCGCAGAAAGCACTGTATTTCAAGATAGATCTTAAAATTTCCTTTTTGAAAAAAAAATTTCCTTTTTGATGATAAATGAAACACCATTCTCTTTTAAATTGTCATTTCTGGCATAGAACTCATATGCCTTTCTGATTCAAAAAGGCCAATACCAAATAATTTCAGTTCACTAGTGCCTAGAATATTGATCTTTATGTATTACATTTTATTTGTGATTACTTCCAATTTTCCTATATTCATACATCATACATTCCAAATTCTGATTCATAATAGATATTTGTAACTCTTTCTTCTCATATTGAGTCATGTCCCTAAGATTTCGCCCCATTAGTGTCTTTATGATGGACTCTATTTTGAGAAGATATCTCTTCCTCAATCATATTTTGAGAGCTTTCCAATCTTAGGGTCTTATCTTGTGGTATTATATTTAAAAATACTAGGGTCCTATCCATGAAGTATTCATTTTCTGACAATGATTTACTGCTATTCATAGGTGCCTAATCCCTCTAAATTGGACAACCAATGGGCTGCTTCATAGCCTCTTCTTCATCTGGAAATTCTACTGAGATCTAATCACAGTATTTGAAATACCAATGACATAGTTCCCAGGATCACCGCAACACACAAGCCACTAGACTCTGACAAATTAAGAAGTAGCGGCACAGTAGAGCACATTTGCCATTATTCAGATCATAGCCTAGATGCTGTGGAAAAGATGTTTCCTCAAGGGTATAAGCTAATTCTATAGAAGAAGGCTCTTTTGTGAGCTTTGTGTTTCTTGCTGGTCTAGATCTTGATTCTGACTCATTAATTTAGGTTCTTTGGACTTGAGTCAAGTCAATGTTTTATTGCCTGCCAACTCTAGGACATCAGTAGCTTGCTTTCTAAACTGCAATATGACCTTGTGAGCTAGGGCTCATTGAATTGTATTGCCACAAGACAGACCTGTTGGCATTGGGTTTTCTCCCTTTGCATCCACCAACCTGTGGTTCTCCTCTTTTCTGATATATCACACCCCTCCTCTGGCCTCCACCAGCCATATGAGCCTGCAGAAGCCTCCAGCTAAACAGCTAACCCACTACCTTGAACTGAACTGGATAGAGCATTTTGCAATCATGTCAACTACTTTCTAAAAATAAATTTATATAGATAGATAGATAGATAGATAGATAGATAGATAGATAGAGACCTAGTAGTGTAATGGTTATGTTATGACTTATGCTGCTAACTCCCAAATCAGTAGTTAGAAACCACCAGAGAAAGACAGGGCTATCTATCCCTTTAAAGAGTTACAGTTTCAGAAATTGAAAGGGGCAGTTCTACCCGACTCTACATGGTCGCTATGAGTTGACATCAACTCAATGTCAGTTGTCATGTGTATATGTCAATTTGTATATATATATATATATATATATATATATACACACACACACACACACACATATATACACACACACATACACATATATATGTATATATACATATATATATAATGTATGTATATATCCTACATCTACATGACCGGTGTTACGATTATAGCGAACGCAGCCTAGAAGCAATTTGCTACGTGAAAAAGGAAACCAAGCCTGATCTATGATTACCATGTGTGAAGAAGGAAGAGTCTATACTTAGGGGTCACTGAGCTCACTTTAATTGCAGTGGAACAACTTGGAAAGGGATGGAATATTGGTTGTACCAACATGAAGAGTATAATCAGTGGCACTGGACTATACACATAGACGTTGCTGAATTGATGCATGTTTTGTGAATATTTTTACCAAATTTGTAAAAAAACATACATGAATAACAATGAGAATGGGGGAAAAGAAGTGTTCTAAAATTGTGGTAAAGATTGTACAATTCTTTTTGATATGGTTGAAAGTGAAATGAAATGAAAGCTATGTGGATGAAGTGCCAGTAAAACTGTTTAAAGAAAAAGTAAAAACACAGTGAAATAGATACTAAAAAAATACATACACATTTCTAAAAAATAAATACCATTTTTATTAAGAATAAATTAATTCCCTAAAAGGGGATGTGAAGGGATTTATGAAAGATCAGAGTTCAACACAGTAGAGGCTAACATTGGGAAACTAGTCAGATGCTATCACGAAGCCGCAGGTCACTAAGATGCATTCTAGGAAACAGGAACTTGGAGATCAAAGATTTCCCAACCATATATTTAGTCAAAAAATCTTAATACAGATGTTCTAGAAACAGAATTACCAATGAGGTGGAATTTCAGAAGCAAATGGTACTTTTACAGTGATGTTCTAACAGCAAGAAGAATAGCAGCTCCTGTAGCAAAATGGCCTGTAGCCACAGCAGCCAGAGCCAGAGCCACATCCATAGCCTGAGCCATAGAGAGAGCCATATCCACAGCCATAGCCTGAACCATAGCCACAGCCATAGCCTGAGCCATAGCCACAGCCATAGCCTGAGCCATAGCCACAGCCATAGCCTGAGCCATAGCCACAACAGCCAGAGCCATAGCCTGAGCCATAGCCAGAACCATAGCCACAGCCATAGCCTGAGCCATAGCCACAAAAGCCAGAGCCATAGCCTGAGCCATAGCCACAACAGCCAGAGCCATAGCCTGAGCCATAGCCACAGCCATAGCCTGAGCCGTAGCCACAGCCATAGCCACCGTAGTAGTTGGAACACATGGTGTGCAGAGAGGAAGTTTCAGATGAGGTGCAGAAGGATGATTCTGAAGTCTGGTTGTCATCCGCTCTCCAGACACCTTTATATACACCAGAAAGGGGTGGGGCACAAGGAACATAGACTCTGTGACCTCACTACTATGGCAATTTTCATTTTTTAAAAGCTCATCATACTACGAACAACAATACTTGAAGAGTCCAGAATAGATCCACAATTTGACAATAGTCAATGAAGAGGGTATTCATAAATCAAATGTGCTCTACACATTAAAGAAGTATGTCCTGTGGGATGTAATACTGACCTAATATACAGCATATTTTCTCGCCAGAGGCATTAACCCTCCCACATACTTGAGCACTGGGAGATGGTCCCGCATCTCCTAGCTCAGCAACAGGAAAACCCCTGGTGTGGAAGCGAGAGGCAAACAGTAGTCACATATGGGGAGTAACAGCTCTCAGATAAGAGCTGCAAAAAAACAGGAGGAGCACGGCAAAGTGGTCACTGCAGTGATACTAGAAACAAGCTACTGCTGAATCCAACGAACAGCCTGTGGGAAAGAGACGTCTAGCATAATGTTCCAGAATAAAAACAACCTTGAGAGTGTTAAATGTCACATAATCCACATCATCCCAGGTTCCATAGTATAAAACTTTAGTTAGTTTCTTTCTCTCTGTCGAGCCCTGTCCTGCTTACCGCACCAAATTTCAGGTGGTAAGCTTCCTGATCCTTCAAAACTTAACTCTGATTATAATTCTTATTGTAAGGATTCCTGGAATTCACAATGTGCATTACACATCATTACTCTATCCTTTTAAAATTCTAATGTGGTAGCAGGCATGTAGGATTATCAAGTTCCATTTCTAACAGAAATTCTGGCAGTGCAGTTGGGTTGGCCTTGGATGACTAAATGAAATCTCCAGAGTTCAAGTCCACCAGCCCTGCAGAGGACAAAGAAACTCTATGGATTGGTTCCAGTTTAGGTTTGGCATTTTAATTATCCATCCCCTTAGTTAATTTTGAGTTATACAGAACCATTATTGGTATTTATTTTCTGAGACTCTAATGCACTAAGTACTCTCTAATTGCCAATGAGACCAACTAAGAAAAGTCCAAGTGATACAATATTTAAGGGCTCACTGCTAAATGTGAAGTCTAGCAGTTAAACCCCACAGCAGGTCCACAGAAGAAGAGGAACCTTTTATTCTATATGCTCCAAGATATGTTTGTTTCTTATTTGGCAGCCCATTGTGTTTTCAATATTCTTCACTGGCACCTTTATTCAAATTCACCAATACTTCTTATTCATGATCCAACTTTCACATCCTTAGAAATATGGTGATCAGATTTTAACATTGGTAAAGCGGGACACCATTGATAAAACTCATATCCTGGTGAAATAGCCACATGGCAGCCGAAAACCGTATACCCTAGCTTGTCGTGCATTCTTTCCAAAAATCAGGACTTTTTTAAAACGCCGCAAGACGCAGGAAAAATTGTTAAAAACGGGACTGTCCTGCCAAAAGCAGGACGTCTGGTCACCTTACTTAGAAGGCAAGCGAAAATAACATGTCTTAGGTCTGCCATACCTTAGTCCTCAAAATAATGGAATCCTGTTTCTTAAATACTTTGAAGAGATCGTGTAAAGTAGATATACCCCATGAATTGCAGCACTTGATCTTTTGAATGCTGCTTCCATAAGAATTGACTGTATATCCAAGCTAGTTGAAATTCTTGAAAATGTTGATCTTTGCTCCTTTTATCATGATGCTTTCCATTGCTCCATGTGTGAAGATCTTTATGTGCTCTACGATGAGATGTAATCCATACCGAAGGCTACAAACCTTGATCTCATTAAGTGCTTCAAGTCCTCCTCACTTTCAGCAAGCAAGTTTGTGTCATCTGCGTATTGCAAATTGTAAATAATTTTTTCAATCCTGATGATGCATTCTTCTTACTCTTATCCAATTTCTCTGATTATTTGCTCAGCATACACTCTGAAGAACCATAATGAAATGATAAAAAACAAAAGCAAGGCATTTTTTTGGTCTTCTCTGCTTTCAGCTAACATCAGTAATGATATCCCCAGTTCTATGTCCTCTTCTGAATCCAGCTTGAATATCTGGCAGCTCCCTGTCAATTTACTGCTGAAACCATTGTGGAATAATCTTCACAAAAGAATTTACTTTTATGTGATATTCATGATAGTGTTTGATACTTTCTGTGTCTTGTGTGTTACCCATCTTTGGAATGGGTACATATCTGGCTCTCTTCCAGTAGGTTGGCCAGGTACTTGTCTTCCAAATTTCTTGGCATAGGTGAGTGAATACTTCCAATGCTTCAATGGCTTCCGGAAACATTTCATTCTGTTCCATTAATTCCGGGAACCTTATATTTTGTTAATGTCTTCAGGGCAGCTTGAACATCTTCCTTCAGTACCTTCAGTACTTCCTTCAGTTAATGTTCTGTTCACGTTGAGTGACTCTGTTTGGTGTTTTAAATACCAGTGACGTAGCGTACAGCATCACAACCAAATACCAGGCCCCACAGTATGACCAATGGATGGACAAGTGGTGGCCTCTCCTTACATCAGCAAAAATTAGATGGCGCCGTGGGAAACAGGTCACTGAAGTGAAGACAGAAACAGAAAAACCACTGTTGCCAAAGACTGAAATAGTGGCAAAGGGGCTTCTGATAAAGTATGCCGAAATGAAAGTGATTTATCCAATGTAACATAATCCACATTATCCCAGGCTTCGAAGAATAAAGTGTTTTCATGAAGTGTTGTCTCTCTTTGAAACATCTTTCTTGCTTCTATCAGCAAATTTCAAGATGAAAATCTCTCGCTGATCTCGCGAAACTCAGGTCAGATTATATTATCAGAGTAAGTATTCCTGGATGATCACAATATTCCTTATATCTCTAATCTTTAATAACTCTAATGTGGTAGTAGACATGTGACATTAACATGTTCCATTTTAATTACCAGAAGCTTTGATGGTACAGTGGGTTAGGAATAGTCTTCTAAACAAAAGTGTAGTGGTTCAAATCCATCAGCATTCCAAAGGACTGAGATAACGCAATTGGCTTCTTTAAAGATATATAGCCTCAATGATCCTGTGAAGCATTTCGACTCTCTTCTATTGTGCAGCTGTGAGTTGGATTCAGTTCAATGGCAATTAATTTGGCTTAGATTTGGATTTAAAATTTTCCAGCTCTTCAGTTAATTATTTGTTATGTGAAACCAACATTGGGATTTATATTCTGAGAATGTTTTGCATTAGACAATCACTAATTGTTGAATGAGATTGTGTAAACATTCTGCAGACATTAATACATTTTATTTTAATTTAGGGAATATTATAAAATTAAACAAGTTGCGGTAGCACAATGATTAAGTCCTGGTAGCTCTGGTGCTGATAGATGAGTTGTTGGTTATTGGTTGTTGGTTAAACCCCTCGGTGGCTCCACAAAAGAAATGATGTGGTGACATGCCCCAAAGCAGATTACAGCCCAGAAATCCCAGGGGGACACTGTATCTTGTCATTTGGGGATGAGATGAATTCAAATCTCATCAAAGTATATAACTAGAGCAACAAAGAATGCATGAAAAATTTAATAAAATTACTATATAAAGTGACGTATAGATTTATAATTTCATTTAATTCTTACAAAAACAATGTCATAAAGTAAAACATTTATTGCAAGTTGCTATCAAGTGTCATCATGCCAGGTCCTTCACATAATGAGCCCATGTACAAGAGAACAGAACAGCTCCTGACTCTGCACCATCCTGACCATTGTTCCTATGTCTGATCCCATTGTTGCAGCCATTGTGTCAATCCATCTTGTGGATAGCCTTCCTCCTTTTCACTGCTCCTTTACTTTACCAAGCTGAGGTTCTTCTCCAGGGACTGGTAAAAAAATGAGTAAATTGAGGTTGTGTTAGTCCGGGTTGACTAGAGAAACAAATCCAGAGCCACTCATATGTGTGTAAGAGAGAACTTTACATCAAAGGGTAATTGTATATTAAGAAAACATCCCAGCCCAGTCCAGATCAAGACTGTAAGTCTGATATTGGCCCATATGTCCAATATCAATCTATAAATTCCTCTTCAGACTCATGCAATACATGCAATGACGCTGAATAAAGAAAGATCATGTGCCAGTGGGTGGAAAGTTTAGTGGACCCAGTGATGATAGAATCATTTCAGCACCGGAAGGGTTCTCCTCGTGGCTGCTCCAGCTCATGGCTCTATCAGCTTAGCTCCATGTGGCTTGTCAACAGGCATACAAAGCAGAGAGTTCTGTGTGTCCTGCCTCCAGGGAGCTATTTATCTACATGCTTCCTCTAAATGAGGTCATCAAGCTGTGACCTGATGGACGGGCTAAACCGCACCCCCTTCGCAAGTTGACAGGAGTTTATGTAACTACCACAGTGGTCAACTAATTTACTCAAAATTGTCAGCTACTTAGTAGTAGAGTTGAATTAGTTCAAGAACTACCACAACATGAAAGGAAGGGGAAGTTCTGTGATCACTTTTACTTTTGTTCTTCTTATCAAACATGCTACCTTCCTCTAATTACAATTACCCATGTTTGTGATGTTAGCCTTACACTTTTATCATCTGAATCTTCTTCCATTTCAACCTTACATATCTTAACCCAAACATTATGTAAACATTAAACATACGACCCTAACAACCTCTCAAATCTGTTTCATAATCTCAAGTACCTCATAGAATTATGACCTTTTCCTGTTAAAGTTGCTCTAATCAAGCCAATGCTTTCTCTGCCTACAGAGTATGCAGTCTTCTCATTATGTTGAAAGCTACATTTGGATATTGTAGAAACTTAAGACAAATGATGCTAGTAGTTTAGCATCTGAAATATTAATAAACATATTAAAAGAAATACTTAGAATGCAACTTCATGTTAAAGTAGCACTTCAGTCATACTGAGAAGCTTTCCTTTTATCCCTATATTATTGAGGGTCTTCATAAGACAGTATGGTATATTTTATCAAATCTGATTGCTTCAACAATATCAGTGATTATGTGGTTCTTTTCTCTTGTTCTGCTGATGTGATGCATAATGGTGATTGACTTTCTAATGTTAAACCAACCTATTGCTTTTGTGCAACAAAATGTCTCCTGGTATTTCTTGTCCTTGGTGTGCAGGTTAGGGTTTTGGTTTCATGAGATTTCTCAGTGAATCATCCCAATACCATGTTACTTTGATTCAATCATGCCTACTGTCTTAAAAATGTGCACGCTGCCATCCAAGATACAATTGAAGCAAGAGATTTAGGCATGGCAGGATTTGGGAGAGGAAATGGAATGTATGTCTAATTGTATACATAAGTAACTGCCTCTTTTGGCATGAGAAGATGTCTGGCCAAAATTATGGCCATAGAATAATCCTGATCAGAAGGAGGAAAACTGAACACTGAAATTCACATTCTCATGAAATCTAGGCTTTCTGAAGGCACAGAGTTTGGGAAGCCCATAAAACGATTGTCCTGATAATATTTAAATCATAAATCTTAAACCAATATTATCCTCTGAAAACTATGTGCCAAAACAAAGTTTAGCTTAATTAATAAAAGTAATGAAGTAATTTATAGGGTATCTTAGAGTCAGAATTTCCTTAAAGCTAGTGAGACTTTTTTTTTAATGTTCTTGTTTTTTTTTAGGTCAGGGTGGGTGTCTACCTTGAACATTGTGCTCTTTTAAAGAATTAGCTTAACGGAATCAGATTGGCAGCAACAACTAAAAGATAAAGAAGAAAATTATGGGGAGTGAATTCATATTCTGATGGAAAAAGAATGCAGAGAAAAAGGATAAGAATAGTTACACTATTTGAAGATCTCAACCAATGTCTTAGAATTGTACAGAAAATATAGGATTGGTGTATGACCCCTGAAAATGTTTCAACAAGAAAAAATATATAGTTTAAAAGACAACTTGAGAGACAAAGAAAAAAGAAGCAAAAATTCATTTTCTAAGGGAATCTGCAAATCATGATTGTCTCACTTCTGTCATTTTTCCCAGCATGATCTACTCAGCATGAGCTCTGATCTTCCAATCTTTTAGGTGCTTTCCACATGTCATATTTATGTGTCTCCTCCTCAAAGCAACATCTGAACAGTTTCATTGACTTTTTCTAGACAGTGACCCAATTGTTCCTAGTTTTTTGTTTTTTTTTTACTATGGCTGTCTTTTAGTTATCAGATCTCAATTCAACTCTCACAATTTCAGTATACTTCCCTGAATTCTGTCTCTAATTATTCAACCCTTAACTCCTTCCCATTAACCTGCTTTATTCTCATCAAAGAATTTTTTCTATCTGAATTCTTCTTCCATAGATTTCAGGGTATTACTTTGTTTTGTGTTTAATCTCTAAATGCTAAAGTGCAAACACTCTGAGAGCAAACAACTTGTTTATAACCTTATTTTTCTACTCTGTCCTTAGTGTTTAGGATGGGGTACCAAAATATTTTTAAAGATATTTGTTGAGCATGAGAATTAAATCAGAGTTTTCAAAATACATAAACACACTTACTTATATTCCTATCAAATTCAGATAACGATTTATTTATCTTCTCTAACTTATCCTTTTTATTACTGAGTGTGTTAGTCTGAGTAGACTAGAGAAATAAATTCAGAAAGACACTCACATGTGTATAGGAAAGAGCTTTATATACAAAAGCTATTGAATATTGAGAAAACATTCCAGCCCAGCCCAGATCAAGTCCATAAGTCTGATATTAGCGCATATGTCTGATACCAATCTATTGGTTATTCTTTAGACTCATGAAACACATGCAATGACACTGAATACAGGAAGATCAGAGGCCAGTGGGTGGGAAGTGGTGTGGATCCAGTGGTGTTGTAAGCATCTCAGCATTCGCAGCGGTCTCCACATGGCTTCTCCAGCTCTCAGAGTTCTGTCTCCATCAGGGTAGGTGCATGTGGCTTCTCTTCAAGGATGTCTTGCAGGGAGTGATCAGAGAGAGTGTGTGTCTCCTGCCTCCAAGGAGGAATATCAGAGTTCCCAGAATCCTCAGAAGAAGGCAATGCCCACCCAGAGGCCTCCTTGGCTATCACCTGATTGGCAGTCTAGACTCCATCCTTCACTCATTCCTTTCAAAATAATGAATGATTAAATACATAACTACCATAGTGAGTTTCTTTGCCCTCATGATTAGCACTCAATTCTGATTCTATTTTCTCACTAAGGTTGGACATTTTTCTTTTAAATACCCCTTCAAATATCCTAAACCATCACTTCTCATTGAGATTTTTATCATAAATTTCTAAATACTGTAACTTGTTCTCTTTTACCACTCACACTCCATCTTAGTCACCATTTCCAAAACACAGTTCTGAAAATATGTATTATTTGTGTTTAGTTGTGTATATTGCAGAGTGTGTAAGCTGCTGGTGAAGAAATATTTTATATGATACAAGTAGAAGAACATAAATTAATGAAGAAACTAAGATTCAGTCAACATATTGTTGGCTCAGTAAACAATGGAAGTCATAAAATCACAAGAATTGTTGAATGCATAAACAACTACAAAGACATTTGTATATTTAGAAACATTTTATTGAGAATACATTAATAAATCAATTTCTCTCAAGGGAGAACCAAGGCATTCAGAACAGAGACTGAGAGATCAAGGTATTAAGGGATGGCATATGGACACTTGTCAGACCTGTCATAGAGCCTCTGAACCTAAAGGTAACATTCTAAGGAGTAGGGACTTAGAGATCAAAAGCTTTCTCTATAATCTTGCACAGGGGTTCTTGAATCAGCATTATCTTGATGTGAAATTTTGAGAGGAAATGGTCCTTTGATGGTGATGTTCTAGCAGCAAGAAGAATAGCATCTCCTGTAGCCACAGCAGCCAGAGCCATAGCCACAGCCATAGCCTGAGCCATAGCCTGAGCCATAGCCACAGCCATAGCCTGAGCCATAGCCACAGCCATAGCCTGAGCCATAGAGGGAGCCATAGCCACAGCCATAGCCAGAACCATAGCCACAGCCATAGCCTGAGCCATAGCCACAGCCATAGCCTGAGCCATAGCCACAGCCATAGCCTGAGCCATAGCCACAACAGCCAGA